TCCAGCTACTTGGAAGGCTGAGGCGGAAGGATCGCCGGAGCCCAGCAGGTCGAGGCAGCGGTGGCCAGGAGCGGCCATTGCACTCCAGTCTGGGCCAGAGTGAGACTCTAACTCAAAAAAATAAAAAAGAAAAAACACTTTGGGAGGCAGAGGTGGGAGGATTATTTGAGCCCAGGTGTTTGAGACTAGCCTAGGCAACACAGTGAGACCTCATCACTACAGAAAAATCAAAAATTAGCTGGGTATGGTGGTGCATGCCTATACTCTTGGGAGGCAGATAGAAGGATTGCTTGAGCCCAGTAGGTCGAGGCTGTGGTGAGCCATGATTGTGAACTCTAGCCTGGATGGCAGAGTAAGACCCCGACTCAAAGAAAAAGAAAAACAAAAAGAAAAACACAAACAACTCCCCTCCCCCTCATAACCAAACCAAACAAACAAAAATCAGACCAGTTTGCCAAACCAGTGGTTCCATCAGTTTCCTTTCAGAAATGTTCTCTATTACCTATTCATCTATTTCCTTGCTCTGGGGTGGATTTTTGTTTTGGAGATTAAAAAATTTCAGGTTCTGGGAAGAATTCTAAAATTGCGAAGCTGAAAGAGCTCTTGACATTCCTTACCTTCAGGAGAGATAAAACCCTAACATTGCACACTGATGAGAATGTGTCTTACTTTCAAAGACTCCTCAGAAGGAGTTTCTCTGGTAACCTTGGAGATATCAGGCGGCCTGGACTGACCTTAATCTTATGGCTGACGAGTCTTCTGCCTCCTACTCATGCCTCGGAGGACAAGAGTATGAAGTAAACATCAAACAAAAGTCTTAGTCAATTTTAAAATGTCCTCTAACTTAATGCACCTGCTCTCTGAGCAACTTGTAATGACTGTGACTTTTAAAACCGACCAGTGGAGTTCGATGAGACCTCATTTACTACCTTAGCTCACTGAGATCACAAACCAGCCTCCCGGGAGGGTCTGCTCCGCCACACTGCTGGGGAACAGGACCCCCTGGCTCCAGAGATTAATCTCTCTCCCAGTCTTCCTCCCTCTGTGCTCTCTGCACTGCATTCTGAATTGCAAAAACAGAGTCATAAAAATGTCTGCCTAAGGATTTTTATGTTACCACCTTAAAAATTCAGGACTGGGGAATATTTGGTTATTTCTCATTTATGCTCTGCCTGCTTCCAAAAAAGACTCAAGCCTGACTATTTGTTCTGCTACCTACCAACCATCACCTCCCACTGTCAGAAACATCTTTCTTATTTCTAACCCCTGGAATTTTCCATGCGAGGGTGATGGTAAAGTCAAGATCAGGACTCACCATCTTTCAAATTTCTTGTGCGGAGTTCAGCCCACTGAGCTACCCCTTCTCTCCAAACTGACAACTCAGTTGAAGTGATCACAAGACCCAAAGAAAATGAACTCAAAAGGCTAAGGGGGCAGGAGATGGAGAGAGAGTGAAAGACGCCCTTACCTTTGAAATAATGTACGAAGGACACGGTTAGGCCCTGCCTGGAGGCCTCCTGGCGGAAGCTGGGGGCAAAGGTACGAAGAGTCACTGAGACGTTCTGCTTCACCTGGATCTGCTCAATGGAGCCTCCCACGCAGAAGGAGCCAAAGTACAGGTCCTGGTCAGGGACAGCGCTGGCCACAAGGTAGCTGAAGCTGGTGTTGCAGGGCCTCTCGTGCGTGTGCTGCTGCAGCTTCTGGGCGGGCACCAGAACCAGACTGAGCCTGTCCTTGGGCACCAGCAGCTTCCAGGAGAAGTCATGTAACTGCACGGGCAGCTGGAGGATGTCACCGGGCACCTGGAGAGAGTAAGACTTCCTATAGCAGTACCGGTGGTCCGTGCAGCCTGGAAGAGAGGGGCTTGTGGTGGCCATGTGCATGGGAGCCCAGAGCACATCGCCCCAGCTCTCTCGTACGGCCGAGGCTGGACGTCTGCATGCTGCCATGCTTTTTCTGACAGTCTCTCTCCTCCCACCCTGCCCTCCACTTCTCCGTGTGCCCTTTTTTTTTTTTTTTTGAGTCGGAGTCTCACTCTCTTGCCCAGGCTGGAGTGCAGTGGCAAGCTCACAGCTACCGCAGCCTCATCCTGCAGGGCTCCAGTGATCCTTCCGCCTCAGCCTTCCAACTAGCTGAAACTACAGGCACGCGCCACCATGCCCAGCTACTTTTTTTGATTTATTGTAGAGATGAGGTCTCGCCAAGTTGTCCAGGCTGTTCTTGAACTCGTGGGCTCACCTACCAAAGTGCTGGGATTACAGGCTTGAGCCACCACACCTGGACCATGCGCCTTTTCTAGCTTTCCCTCCTGCCCTCTAACATGCTTACTGTCTATTGAGCTAGCAGACAAATCTCTGGGGAGGGCTTAGGACTGACATTTTTCTCTCCTTTTTTGCTCAAGTTTTTGCCTCTGTGTATCTGTGTTTTAGATGCTAAGAATCATGGGGGCGGGGCACAGGTTTTCATCACCCTCCCAAACTTGCTGCCCAGTGTCCCTATCTGTGGGGATGCAGTTCTGTGCGGTGGTTGGAGCTGTGAGTGGCCCTTCTAGCTCAGCCTGACTTCTAGCTCTGTCACTTCCTAATGAGGTGAACTTGGGAAGGATATTTAGCCTCTCAGGTCTCAGCTTCTCTACCTACAGAGGCTCTCAGAGCAGCCATGGCAGAGAACTTAGTGGTCCAACAGGAAGGGAACTATTGGTTTACTACCCTTCATTGATCAAACTTTTTTTTTGTTATCTTTATGTATTATTTTTATATTTTAGAGACAGTGTCTTGCTCTGTCTCCCAAGCTGGAGTGCAGTGGTGCAATCACAGCTCACTGCAATCTCAAACTCCTGGGCTCAAGGGATCCTCCCCCTTCAGCCTTCCAAGTAGCTGGGACTACAGGCATGTGCCACCAAGCCCAGCTAACTAAAAAAAAAATTTTTTTTTGGTAGAGACAGGGTCTCACTATGTTGCCCAGGCTGGTCTTGAACTCCTAGGCTCAAGAGATCCTCCCACCTCAGCCTCCCAAAGCACTGGGATTATAGGTGTGAGCCACCATACCCAGACTACATCAAATATTTTGTAAGTGACTAACACATGGCCAGCCACTGTTAGGGGCTGACTGGATGAAAATGGAGCAAGCCAAAGTTCTTGACCTCAAGGCTCTCAGTCTCATGTGAGAGGTGACAAGGTGGGCAGTGAGTATCCCAGAGGGGATGTGAGGACGGGCGAGGTTGGAGAAGGCTGAGCAGAGGAAGAGAAGATTTCACCGGAGGGAGAGTGAAAGGCTGGGTAGAGACAAGCCTGGACCTGGGGCAGTGCAATGCACTTCGAGGGACACATGCCCCACCCAAGGCTAGTCCTAAGGGGGCACATCCATACTTGCTGCTTGCCTCTTGAGTGTCCTTTGTCACCTGCACTGTGAGTGGGCATCTTGGATCATGTGATTTATAATCTACCCAGTGAACCCCACTAAGAAGACAAGGAAGGGAGGGAAGAGCCACCCACAGCTTGGGACGAATATTCTAATGAAGGTGCGTACTTATGGTTTTCTCAGCATTCATCCACAGGCGTGTGAGGTCATCACACAGGAAGGAGACCTTGTATGTGGAGCCAGGTGTCAAGGTGAGGTTGGTACTGCAGGTCCGAGACTCCAGGCACACGAAGCAGCCAGGGACAAACTTGCGGCTCTGTTTGACGGGCCGCGGCTCGATGGTGAGCGACATGGTTCGCTCATTACTCAAGTCAACCACGTAGATTTTATCTGAAATCACAAATAGAACACAGGTGTGAAGCATGGGTCAGCAGCAACCATGTGAAATGGCAAAAATTAGTAGAAAACCTCTCCGGAGGTGGGAAATGGCATATCATATCATGGCTGGAGAATGTTGGGGAAATGATTTATTATGGGAACATTACAGTAACATTAAAAGGAAGTTAGGCTAGGTGTGGTGGCTCATGCCTGTAATTAACTAGCACTCTGGGAGGCCAAGGCAGGAGGATCACTTGAGGCCAGGAGTTTGAGACCAGCCTGGGCAACATAGTGAGACCCCTGACTCTATTTAAAACAAAAAATTCTTTTTGTAAAATACACATGATGGACTACCACAAAATTGTTATAAATATGGAGTAAACACAACTTATGAAGGAAAAAGGATTAGAATATCTGTCTGACAATAGGTGCCATAAATAACACTAAAGGACAAGGGCCACACTGGGAGAAAATATTTGCAATATGGTATGATTGAGTAGTTCATAGAAAAAGAGATACAAATGCCCAAATACTCAACATGTGGAAAGTTCTCAATGTCACCTGCATCAGAAAAAAAGCAAATTGAGACAAAGCATTACTGTTTCTTCCTCCTCAGATGGGGGGAAAACATAAATGTCTGGTAATACTGAAAGCTTGGGAGGCAGCAGGAAATGAGTGCTTTCCCACACAGCTGGCAGGAGACGGGGACAGTCTGTTCCGGGAACATGGGAATCAGTATAAGAATGAAACCTTGCCACTGACCCCATCTCAGAACCCAACAGTATGACAAGGCCACGGGTGCCCACATTTCACTGTAGTGCTGCAATTGCAGAAAATGAGAAACCGTCTAACACTGGAATAATTAAATAAACTATGGGACATTCATGAATGGAATATCATGCAGCTGTTACAAAGAATGAAAGCTATCTAAAGATACTGATCTGAAAATTGCCCAGATACTGCATTGAGCAAAACAGCAAGAGGTAGACAATATCATATGATACCATGAGGATGATACCCTGCAACTGGTAAAAAATCTCTCCATGAAACAAAATAGCTATTTACATGCACATACTTATATATCCAGATGAAGAGGAAAAAAGATCTGGGGAGGAATACAAAAAATCTGAAATTATGGTTACTCCAGGAGAGGGACCTGGAGTGGGAAGAGCACGGGTGGCCAAGGGAAATTTGAATCTTTATCAAGAAAGTATTCACCTATGTCTGGTATCATTTGGAAAACCATTTTGGTCATTTAGCTGACTTCTATGATTTTGCCATTAGAAATAAAAGTTGAAAAATGCATTTTTCAACTCTTTAAACTAGATTACCAGATTGCTTTACAGAACAGTCATTTCACTTTATAATGTTATCCCTAACCACAACCCCAGGGAGATCAATTTTTATCGTTTCTTTTTAATTTCATTCATTCTGCTTTTATAAAAAAAAAACATCACATTAGAAAGGTGCCTGTGCAAGGTGGCACTATCTTTACAATTCAAGGGTGTTGACAACACCACCCATCAGATCCCTTCGCTTCTCTGTCTGTAGTACCAGGGAGAAAGTTCAATTCCAGCTGGGAAAGTTCTGCTTCCCAGGAGGGACTGCTAAGCTTCCTCCTTCATGGTAACACGGACCATGTAATTAATGGAATCACTCCTTTTAAACCAGCTGCTAGGGAGCTCAGTGTCAAATAAGAAGCATAATTAGGAAAACGTTTTATGGTTGTCATATCTGTTAATTTCTTTCTTTGGTTTTTATTGTCTATTTCCACGTAAATTTTACCATCATATCCAACAGTGCTTTAACTAGAGAGATGTCATGTCTAGAACTGGATCTGCTTTAGAAAATAGTTAGCCTTTCAACCTCCCAGCTCCACATCCAGATCATTTCTTACTGTCCTTCAGAACTCATCTTCATTGTTACCTCCAGGACACCTTCCCCTTTCTCTCTGGGCTGTGAGAAGCCCCTTTGCTTTTGCAGTCCCTGATCATCTTTGTCTGACCCAGTCTACACTGCAGTATCTCACCTACCTGCTGTTCCCTCATCTGTATGTTGCCAAAGCCATGCACACACATACTCTAAGGCAGGGGCTCTCAGTCTTGGTACTTTTGAAGGTCTTGCTTTATTGTTTTTAAATATCTGATGCTGTTGACAATTTGTTCATTGACATTTGGTTTCTTATTCCTCTGTATAAAACTTTTTTCCTCCTCTCTGGAAACCTGTAGGACCTCTGTGTCCCTGATGTCCTGAAATTTCATAACAGTGTGTCTTGGTGTGGCTCTATTTATATCCATTGTGTTTGGTGGTCCCTTTCAATTGATAATTCATGTCCATCAAGTTCTGGCAAATATTCCTGAAATAATCTCTCATCTAGTTTTTTATGTTCTCTCTTTCTGGAATTCCTTTTAATTGAATGTTAAATTTTTAATTCAAATTTTTATATTTCTTCTTACTTTCCATCTGTCTTTTTCTTCATTTCACTTCCTGGGAGATTAACTCATTTTTACCTTTCAGCCCTTTTGAGAGTTTCATCTTTTTAAATTTTTTTTAAATTTTAGTTTTTTGTAGAGATGAGGTCTCACTATATTGTCTAGATTGATCGCGAACTCCTGGGTTCAAGTGATTCTCGAGCCTTGGACTCCCAAAGTGTTGGGATTACAGACATGAGCCACCGTGCCCAGCCCTGAATTTTTCACTTTTGTTGTATTATTTTTAATCTCTAAGAGTTCCTTTTGGTACTCTGAAAGCTCCTTTTAAAAATTACAGCCTGTTCTTTTTATGGATGCAGCATCTTTTCCTGTTTTTTTTTTTTTAGGGTCTTATTGATAGCCGGTTTTGTTTGAATTTTTTCTCCCTTCATAGTCTCTGTTTCCTCCAAGTTGCTTTTCATCTGGTTTTTTTTTTTTAGATACACCTATAATTTTATTACGAAATCGTTCTCTTGGCATGCTTGTTTGTTTTAATCTGTCTTTTTTGTTGGCCTTCTTCAGATGTCTGGGGATCTATCTATGTGGCTCTTATTGACAGTGAGTCACTAAAAGCTATTTGCAATAGCTCTGCTTGTGGACTGGACTTCTCTGTAGGGGGACTCAGCCAGATTGCTTCCTGGTGAACCTGTAACATCAGTATCTTTGGGTCTCTCCTGTTGGGTCAGTCGGTTTCCCCCAGAGAAGAATCCACCATCCACCAAATAGAGGAAATATCTACATGGCTACCAGTGAAGGAAGGAGGATGGGGCCTTGTTGTCATTACGTCAACTTGTACTCAGTCCCCTGTGCTCCGCTTAGTACCTCCATCTGCAGTGTGCCTGGGATCATTGGTTCAGGGACTATCTTATCTTCCCTGGAAAAGAAATTCCGATGTTCTATTGGCTGGGAAAGAGCAGTCACTGGCTGTTTATTGTCAAAAATAGGATCTGGGGTTTTAGTGGTTTCTCTTACCTTAGCCCCATATTAGCTCCCAGTTCTGGAGGTGAATTGCTATCAATTCTTGAGCCTTTGCAGGATAAACTGGGTTTCTTTTTGGTTTTCCCCACTGTTGGCTTAGGATTTCAGGTCTACTGGATCAGTCACCACTCTACTTTCTACTTTATTAAGTGTTATAACATTATTTTCATTTCTCTTTTTCCTTGAGCTTTATGCTTTTAAAAATATTTTAAAATTATACTTTTAAAATGTTGAAAGATGCTTTTAAAAATGTTCTTGGCTAGGCTGGGTGGCTCAGCCTGTAATCCCAGTACTTTGGGAGGCTGAGGCGAGTGGATTGCCTGAGCCCGTGGGTTTGAGACCAGGCTGGGCAACCTGGCAAGATCTCGGCACTACAACAAATAAAAAAAACAGCCGGGCATGGTAGCGTGCACCTGTAGTTCTGGCTACTTGGAAGACTGAAGCAGAAGGATCGCCGGAGCCCAGCAGGTCAACGCTGGAGTGGCCACGAGCATGCCTCTGCACTCTAGCCTGGGTGACGGAGTGAGACTCCAACACACACAGACACACACACACACACGCACAAGTTCTTAAAAACACCATTATGGTAGGGTTTAAGAAGGGAGCATAGCTATCTTTAATGGGAAATCATTATTTTCTTATTACTTGTCTTTCCCACCAGAATGTGAACTTCATGGATCTCCATAACTGGTACATGGTAGAAAGTCAACGGCTATGTTATGTTGTTAATCCTCATCATGTCCTTGAGAGAGAGTGTGTCAGTTAAATTAGGCTAAATTAGGCTGTAGTAACAAGTAATTCCCAAATTTGAATGGTTAGGATAACAAATGTTTGTTTCTTGTTCAGCTTACATATCCGTTATGAGTTGGCTGCAGCTCTGGCCTATGTCTTCTTAATTCCATATCCAGGCTGAAAAAGTCTCTCTCTCTGACACGTAAGTCTTGTGACAGAGTTTGAAAAAGTGAATCACGCTGATGAGTGCTGAAGTTCTGCTTGGAAGTGGCATACTCACTTCAGTTCATTGGCCAAAGCAAACTCACATGGCCCAGGCTGCAGTCAATGGGGTAGAAAGTCTAATCCTCCCTCAGAGGAGGGGCAGTAAGTATTTTAGAACAAAAATACAATCTAGCACAGTAGGTATTAGAACTCCCACTTTGCAGACAGAGAAACTAAGGTTAGGAAGTGGTGAGACTGGGACTGATCTTCCTGATTACAAAGTCTGAACTCTTTCTACAATGCCCATCGTCTCCTTAGAACCACCTTCTCTAGCCTGGCAGCTAGAGATTTTGCGAGGCCTGGGACTGGCTTCACACAGCTCACTTATGGATGATACATCCGTGGAAAAAACCTGCTGGCTACCATCTGGTTTCAAGAGGATAGTGAGGCTGTTCTTTGATGTGCTTTAGAAGTACACCAGATTGGATCATGCTTGGTTTAGTTCAACAACGGTTCATCAAGTATTTATAGGGGACCTGTTTTTATGTCCAACACTATACTCCAGAGTTGGTATACAACAATAAACAGACCTTTCCTTTGAGAAGTTCATAATTTAAATTTGTGAGA